CAATAGAACTCCAAGTCTTCCCCGATATCCTTCAGAAAACCAGAGTAAATCTACTCCATAAAAGTAAGATCACAGTGACAAACGACAACAGACCAATATCAAACTACCCACATATTTAAAATATTTGAGAAACTGATGGACAAGCAGCTTGTCTCCTACCTCGCTAAACATGATACAGTATACATATCTTGTCAATATAGCTTCAAACCATAAACAGCACCAATGATGCTATAATAAATAAGCTCTTGATAAATATGAGCATCCAATAGGACTGTTGGCCTTTGAAAGGCCTTTCAAACTCAAACCATAATAGCCGTCTCCTTAAACTGTATCACTATGGGGTCTGGGGTCACTCTCTTCAATACATGTGATCTTACCTCAGTGACGGACACCATTATGTTTTTGTCAACGATGCTACTTCTCACACTTTGCCAATTACTATTGGCATGCCACAGGGTAGTAAACTTGGTCCACTCCTCTTTCACATACACATCAATGACCTACCAAATGCCATGTAACACTTTACAGCCAATACTATTTGCTGATGACAAAATCTTAATTTTCTCAAATACTAAGACATCTTGAACAACACATTAAATACCAAACTCAAAGAAGTCCACATGTGACAGAGTGCTAATAAAGCTAACCTTTAACACTCACAAGACACATATATTATTGGGAAATAAATCTATCAATTAATAAGAAATAAGAATAAACAACACCCAAACTGACCATAGAAGCAGACAGAAAATACCTTGGCATACACATAACTAACTGATCTTCATCAGCCATATAAAAATATAAATAAACGTATCTAAACTGCAGTCATACTCTAAAATCCACTAAAGAACTTCACACTACCCTGATATTATATTACTCACTCATCTATTTGTATCTCACAGTACCTGCACCTGAAGATTATGAATCTAAACTATCTCACACGCACACATTTCCTCAACAAAACTCAGCCATGAAAACAATAAACCCCAACCCCGGACAGCATGCAGTAAATTTATTTAAATTTATTTGATGTTCCAAGAGTCCAACTCAACCAAAATAAATAAAATGCCATGCATATGAAGTCCTAAATTTTGGAATGGTCTCTGAAATGCAGTAAAATATTGCACAGTACTGCCTGTAACCAATTTAAGAGAAACAAAGTATATTATTGCAGACGATGAGTCACAATAATGCGGCTGAAGATATGATAACCAAACCACATGTCAGAAGTGAAAGAAAAGAGAACATTTCATTCCGTCTTGGAGCATTATCAAGCTGTCTTCTTCACATGGCTTGATAATGGTCCTGGACGGACCGAAACTTCGTCATTTCTTTCACTTTCTGATGTGTGGTTTGGTCATCAAAGTATATTATTGATGTGATTTAGTATCTGCAACTATAACACTAAATAGCACAAAGTCCTAGGAGCTCTCATCCTAAAACAACAAAAATTGTGTTTACAGTCATTTTTACCTTCAAAATACTGAACACTATTTCATATTTCAATAACTTGGATCATTGGAGACTCAAACTAGGACCTCAAAAGTACAAGACACATGTCTAACCAACCAGGTCATGGATGCTCAAAATAAGGATCTCAGAAGTGCCTAACTGGTACGCAAATGAGATTTCGATAAACTTTTCCCTGAAACACTACTTAAGTATTTCAAGGTAATCCACCCCCTTCACAAATATCTCATAATGTGCAGTCGACCTTAGCATGGGTAGTGACATTTTGTTTACTTGATAATCTTGTACTTTTGAGCCCTAAGTTTAAAAGTTTCTCCCTATTTAAAAAACAAAAAACACCAAAGCTATTGAATCTAAAATGTGAATCCATCATTCAAATTCTAATTGTAACTTGCTTCTGCTAATATCCTATATACCACATGTTCTCAACAGAGGGGAGACGGGGGGGGGGGGGGGGGAAGGGGACCGAGGGGTCGGAATCAGGATCACAGGCCTAAATTGCTGGAATGTTGATCTTTCTACAAACTACAATTCAACAGATTGTACATACAAAATAAGAGATTTTCAATAGTCTGTATTATTGAAATGCAACTTTTGTCAGACAATCTTGAAAAGGGGGGGGGGGTGAATGGCATTCCATTATACAGTAAAAAGGGTGCAAGAGGTAAAAATGTTTGAGAATTACTGTTACAGTGTACTTACTATATATACCAACGTACTAATAAATACAGTAATCCAATATGTAATTACATGGCCATACACAATACTGTTTATTATTTAACAAATTACTGTTTAGTATTTGAAGTTCCAAATGTGTTAATCATAAATTATAGCGCGTATTCCACTGTATAAACACTTAAATACGGCGCAATTTTTGTTACATACTGTATTAGTAATATCGTGTTACTCAATTTGATTACTTTACCATATTATTTATTATAAGTATACTGCATACAATATACATATACACACTCTCTCTCATATATATATTATATATACTGTATATAATATATATATATATATATATATATATATATATATATATATATATATATATATATATATATATATATATATATATATAATAAATACAGTATATAAAATTATATATACAGTATATATATGTATTCATTATTCATTCATTCATTTATTTATTCTTTAATACATTTATTTGTTTATTTATTTATTTATTTATTTAAGATTTGCCCCTCCTGTTAGTTTTAAGATTTGTCTGATACACTGCATGTGATTAACAACCTTATAAACAATAATACAATGTAATAAACCAATATTATTTTATAAACATTATTATATTACACTGATTGCTTTTCACTAAATACACACTAATGCCTGTATGACACATATTTTATCTGTTCCACCAAATACTCCCCTTGTTAAAGTTGTTCCACCAGAATGCTCAGTGCATCCAAATTGCAAGTCATCTCCCACTATGTACATGTATGTATTTATGTATACAGTACCTTATTGATGTGGAGTACTTCACGTGTAAGTGTGCATGCATCTGTAATTAACTAAGTGTAGTTACAGGAAGAGCACTATGCTCACAGTGTCCCATCTTCCCATTCTCTTAGTCGTATGACAAACAACCGATGCTTTTGACATCCATTACCTTCTTATTTAAATATATGTACACATGTGTGTGCATGTAAGGACATTTGAGAGTATGCGGTGTGTGTGTGTGGTTTGGTGTTTGTGAGCAGATTTGTGGATGCACACATGCATTTATGTGTATATACATATGCATACATTAGGTAAAGGGGTAAATGTACGTAGGAAAAAATTATGTAACCGAGCAGGTAGTAAGAAGAAAATGAAGATACATAATCATGAAGCATAAATAAGGATATATTGTACATTCAGATGAATTAACATTCTGATGTATGCATGTTTTTGTGATTATATTTCAGTGGTGTAAAAATATTCATAAATGGCCTAAAAGAAGCAGACAAAAGATATCAAAATATGAATGCTTAAACAAAAACAATGGTATACAAATACTATCAATAGGGTGTGAAAATATATAATATTGTATAGTGTATTTTCTTTTTAAATTACTGAAGCTGCATTCTAAGTGTATTCTCACATTTCTCACTTACCTTTCACAAGCTTGATGTTTGTAATATATTCAGCGCAAGAAGAATGAGTAACAAAAATATTCAAACCATGCCTAAAAACCATCTAAAAGAGATGCTTTTAATAAAAACAAAATCACAAACCAAGCAGTATTCTTGAATTAAGCAAACAAAGTAAGTAAAAAATAATAAGCTAAGCGTATATGATAAGCGCATTTCTGAGCAAACTCACTCAGTTCCCCCTTAAAGGCATAATTTTCCTGTCAATGGGAAAGCAAATCGTGCGATCTGACCGGAGAATATCTGAGGCACTGGTGCCATTGAGCCTATGACATCCCTATATGACATCCTATATGACTGTCAGACATCCCTATATGGTCATACTGGTACTGTATGGAGAAAACTGAAGGATATCCAGCAATGCTGACAGTGTTATGGAGGACCATAACAAAGTACTAGTTGGTTCACCCACCACCTCCTGCCATAACATGACACCGCCTGAACCACGACATGGCCCACCTCAACAACCTGCCTCACACTGTCCCTGAGACAAGGCAAACTTTGATTACAGAGGAAGTCACAACAATGAAGATGATTTGGGATAACCAAGCAAGCCAGCTCTAAAGTGAACTTTTCAAAAGAATGCTCAAAGCCATTTTCCTGAGCCGGAGAAGAAAGTTAAGTCAACTGCCTTTTGCCTCGGTCTACATGATCAGTGTTGCCACTGCTATTCAAGTCAGGCGGTGAACTACTGGGTAGTTACTGGTTGTTAGTAGCACCAGAGCAATACTGTTATGGTACAATACTGTACTATGGTTTCACGTAATGCTTGGAGGAGGAGGCTTTATTGTACAGGAATGTATCTACTGACAATTATTCAGGCTAGATTTAGCAGCTTCTCTTGTCTCTGTTCCGTCCATTATAAACCTAGAAGAGGCATTAAGAAAAGATCTCCACTATAGATCTCCGCTTAGGGAAAATGGGATATGGTCTATGACAGTGTGACAGTAACCTATTGTCAGAAAATGAGTATTAAGCTCATGAAATTATGTATCCACTAAACATTTATCAACACCATAATAAATTTGCTTCAAAACATGCCAGCAAACATAGCCAAGCCTCATACTCATGCATAATTTACAAGGTTAATTTTCCTAAATATAAGAATGTGACTACACCACTATAGTTAAAGAGAGACTACAAAATTAAATCATCACCCAACTGTACTTTAAACCCTAAACCCATTACTAAAAATACATACCTGATCCCCATGCTTTACTAATTTTGCCACTGGACTCATTTGCAATATCATAACACACACAGGAACCCCAAGACATGTACATATCTGTCACAACTTCTACTCACTCTTGTGGTCATAACTGCTTTACCACTTCCACACAAACTGAAATCCACTTAAAAATATTAGTAAGCTCCTACCTTCAACTTCATGCTAGAGCTGGAGTTAGCACCAGTGTCCTGACTGAAGGACTTGAGCATGGGACTGCGTTTAGGAGAAGGGTTGTGTTGCATGTTCCCTGTGCTTGACCCACGCGGCAGTGTGGAAGGTGAATGTAGTGGCGAGAGACTCACCTGTGACGTAGTGATTGTTTTGCCATGGTCAGAATTCAGCCTCAGTTGACTGTGAAGAAAATAATACACAAAATATTAAAATCATGAAATTTTATAATATCAATATTGCAAGCAAGAATATTTATCAAGACCTTTATTTTATATCCTTACTCATTCCAACAACAGAACCTTTCAGTGAACTTTTATCCAGTTCATTAACTATTGCTAAAAACTAATAATACCCATTGGTGGTGTCCTGTTTTCCTTTACACATTTATCACATAATATTTAAAGTTAAATATACTAAGGCTTTAAAAGGCTGTACTAAGGCTTATATATTTTAATATATTTAGGCACTACCTCATCTTACAATATGTTTCTCATTTGTCCATTACTATGAGAGAAAACATTTTGCATCTCTCTTTGCAGGTACAGTATTTGTTAAGCATAAATTGGGTCAATCAGCCTTGTAAGGCCCTTTGTAAAAATCTCTGCTGACCACAAATTCAGAAAGCATGAGGTCCAATATTTAGTAACTGACACTCACTTAGAACTGGTTAATGTGCATCGGAAAGACTATTATTTGCCTTCACTCAGTTCAAGACCGCTAAAATAGTTTATTTGGTTCTGTACCGATATTATTAGTGCCACATAAACATGCTGCACAATTTATATAGCCTTTGGATTAAATTTACAAATCTTGGCTCAATACCCCAAAAATGAGTTAAAAGTGAGTGCATAAGCTTCTTTATCAACTTGACCAAAGAGTCAGCCTCCCAGGTAAATAAAAAAAGTGTGATCAATCATATTAGTTTGAATTCGTTCAGAATTTGAAGGTGGAACTAATATGAATGAAACTAAGGAAAACTATAATTGAAAAGGACCCTGAGTTTGCCTACTGCTTCAGCCCTTCAGAACGCTCTTCACCATCTTGTCTAATTTTTGACACAAAAATAATATTACAGCATTTAATATATGAATATAAAACCATTTATGATTTTGAATGGGTAAACCCATATCCTTACTCACTGCAACCAACCTTCTCTTTGATCCTTTGTTCCTGTCGCTTAAGGAAAAGGAAATATTTATTTTAGTAGAGGAATATAAAATCAATATAAAATGAGCAGCAAGATCAAAGCACAGGTAAAATTATAAATATTGAAGACCTAATTAAAATTATTTAAAACCAGCAGCATTTAACATCAATCTGCCCACTGATTTCTTCAATAAAAATAATAAAAGTACAGTACTATATACTATATTGCAAAACTTAATGTGTCAAAACATCCATAAACTATACAGTATATACATCAGGTTTGCTTCTCACACTACTGTACTTTTGACATTGAATAGAAAATTATATGAATATAATTTTATTTTGTAGTGACAACAAAGTCTGTTTATCAGAATGTAAAAAGAAAACTGTAGAAGACAATACTTTGCATCGTGCAGTAATGTATGAATGTACTGTACATTACGATCACTCTGTTTACAACCAACCAACTTGCAAACAACCTCCCAAGTCTGTTTTTGAGTGTACACGCAGTACAAATAACCCACCGACATCCCTGTATTATGAACAATGCTACTTCTGTAGACATGTGAATGCCATGAAGCTGACCCATATTGCATGGTCAATATTATTCTCACGCCCAATTTGAATTCTGTGTACTATTTCAACTATTTATTGAGGAAAATACCCTTAATAATGACTGATAAGAAGAAGAAGTGTGTTGGTAGTGCATCAATGTCAACGAATAGGTGAACATTACCATAGAAACAAAAGTGGAGATGATCAAACTCTTGAAGAAGGAAGAAACCCCACCGAAGATTGTAAATGTTTGCTATTAACCACGACATAATCAGAACTTATTAAGGACAAGACTAATTTTAGTGCATGCATCCAAATAGATATATGCACATTACATTAGTGCATGTATCCAAATAGATATATGCACATTACATTAGTGCATATATCCAAATGGATATAAAGTATCCAAAGGTACATATATGACTTGTATACTGTACTATGCACATACACAGTATTCAAGTCAGTGCACAAATGGATCTTGCATTCAATTTATTGGCATTGTGGAACAATCTAACATTTCCCTATAAAGATGTTGCTGTTTCCCTAGCAGTAAATAGATACCCAGGATTTAGGCAACTGTTGTGGGTGCAGCTTCGGAAGGTCAGCTGCTGGCCTAGGGGGTTCTCAATAAGCCTAACATTCTTTCTGTCCTTGACAATAGGAAACCACAAGACAATAATAATGCAAACATTTATTATTATTATTGCTACAATATAATTATTATTATAAGAAGTAGGTGCAGTAATTATAAACCCAAGGAATACCATTAGCATCACAGGTTCAAAACTCTTCAACCAACAAATGTATATTACACACAGAAATCACAATAACGTGATGCATCAAATGAACAAAACATTTTATTATGTTTACGACATTTCTACGACATTTTAAATGTCTACAACATTTTAACCATGTCGTAGCTCAGTCGATTAAGGCAGCGTCTGGGATGCTCCTGGACGCAGGTTCGAATCCTCGTCACGGCCCTTGTGGATTTGTTCAACAAATGTATGTAATATTACTGCAACAAAGGTAAGTTTTCAAGAGGAAACTTTGTGGGGTTTTGCAGACTGTAATAAATCAGTCCAGAATGTGATCAATTGGTGGCTACAAGCATTAACAGCCTAGCTGATCAGGCAGTCACCAGGAAAGATTAGCCAGAACAACTCTCCAAAACAGTCATATGGAAACCCCAGAAATTCAGATAAGCAGAGAATGGGAATTTAATTTGGTTCAATTTAGAGTTTCAAAATCAACTTAAAAAATATACAATATAATGTAAAAGTTAATTAAATAATACTGTACTTGGTATAACATACCACCCTACCTAACAGGTATCGTGTACATAATTAGGATTAAAAATTAATAATTTTTTAACTACTCAGCAGCTAAAGCTGCCAAATATATAAAATAAAGCATAGCTTATCTATTAACAACACATCAAAAGCACCTGGACAGTACCTTCCTCCCATGATGAAAATAGTTGTATCAGATCCAGATACAGACATGTCTGTTTCTTCTGTGGAGGAGTCATTACAGTGATCATGTTCCAGAGGAGTACTGTTGCCGATACTCCCAGTGCTGGAAACTCGACGGATGTGCTCCTTATCATATAACTCCCCGGCTAATTCTATCAAGAGTGCACAGCCATTAGTTTTACATACAAAAATTGAGCCTTTGTAAATATGAAAAGTCCTTCCTAACCAAACCAATTATGTGATCCCTCAGGCAAGATTACTACTGTATACATATAAATAAATTTAAAAAATATCATGACAGTCAGAGCAGGGTCACATTCTGCAATGATTCAAAAGTTATTTTTTAGGGGAGCCCCTTTGTGGTTCCTTGAAGTAAGTAATTATCAAAAGAAGGCACCAAACCGGGAAGGCTATGTAGCACCATCAAATGTGTGGAATAATCAGAGGGCACTAAATATCACCAAGGATGCCAATACGAAAACAGAAACACATAAGGCGAACGATATCAAAAGTATCCAATTCGCCAAGAATTCTATCAAGGAACAAGTGACCGCGAGGGACGGTCGGAAAGCAAGACACATGCTCGTCCTGGAAGTCAGGACATTCAACAAGGATATGCACGACTGTTAGAGGGACAATGCAATGTGGATAATAAGGAGCAGGGCGGCGCTCCATTAAGTAACCGTGAGTTAAGCGTGAATGGTGGTAGGAGGAAGGCCATGGGGACACACAACTCTTAAAAGTACGCAGTTTATTGCCAGCAACAGACGACCAACAACCCTGCCAATGGGCAAGGATGGAGGAATGAATAACTGGGTAAAAGTCGGAATAAGGAATACCTTTACAAGAGATGGGACAAGAGCGGATAGCTTCCTTAGCGGCAGCGTCCGCACGCTCATTTAAAAGAGACACCAATATGGCTGGGAACCCAGCATAAAGTTCAGCCATGAAGACGCTAGTCTCCGGAGGTAGGCGACATATATAAGTGTGGTCAGGAAAAACAACAGAGTAGCCTATACTATCTGCAGACTTAGACCGGATATCTGAGAAGATCCCTGCTGTGCAGATTAATAATAAAACCCTACCCTGGCTATCATAATGCTATAAAATGATATTTTCAGTGATCTTGCCTTAGGGAACATATAAGTAGAATAGCTCAGAAATTGTTGTATGTAGAGCTCCACATCCTAATGCGAAATAATGTAAAATCCAAATAATGAAATATGAGGATATAAGTGCTGAAGCAAAAAAAAATATGCTTAACAAATGTGTAACCATCAAATCAAATAACTAAACTATTTACAGTAGATGGTATTTTTTATATACAGTATAGCTTGATCATATGTTGTCTCATTAAAACTAGTATTGAAAGTAATGTCACATTTTGAATTATATATGCAATACAACAAAAACACACTTTTGTGAGCTAAATTTGATGAATAAATAAAGAACTCACCTGTGGAATATGTATAACTGTGATGCATAATGTTTGCTTGGGTTACAGACGACTCTGAGCCAAGCGATGAACCAGAATCTCGGGGCATAAGCTGGCTCCTCTTACGTGTAACCCCAGAGCTTCCTTTGACATCGGCCATAGAATCTCTAGGTGTTTTGACTAATGTAGAGGAACTCAAACTTCCAGCTCCATAGTAACTTGAAGCTCCTGTACAGCCCCCCATAGTGAGAAACATTAATGCTGATTGGCTGCTTAACAGCTGGTGGACTGTGGGCCCATGGGAAGTTGAAGTTCAAATTCAGTATCACATTCATACATATTCAAGTTTTAATATTACAGTATGCATAAGAAAATCACACAAGCATGAATGACCACAAAACATCAGCAATCACCATCACAGTAATGCACCAGTACCAAAACATTGCCAATTATAAAAAAAAAGATAAATAATGTTATTTATCCACCAAGGTTGCATCACAGTATACATAACATGTAAGCCAGTATGGCATTATTGTCCGACAGTGTCGTTCAAGAATCACACATGCCACATTGCAGTGAAGTTTGTAGCATTTCATTACAATAATTGTCAGATGATTTTCAAATAATTTTATAATATTTTTTTTATATAATTTCAGTGTTCAGTTAACAAAACACCACCCAAGTTGAAGTTGTGAAGATGACAAGGAGACAACCACAGCACCGAGAAAAAGAGGAAAAAGAAATAAAATTAATGTTCATGGCAGTATTAATGTTAATGAAGCTTTATACAGAAAAAATACTGTAATCAAGTTATGTGGCATTTTATATAGATTTTAAACGTCTATTAAAGTTATAATTTTACTTAAAAATGACAATGGAGAACAATCTATAGCACCATACCTTAGAATGGGAATCAAAACTTCTGTAGAATTTGACCATGAATCTACTACACATAGATAGAAAGACGATTTAGGACACCCATCACCAACTGTGCTATTCAATACAAGTTTAGAACCATCAATTTACATACTGTGGTTCTTAAGCTCTACTACAATTATATCTCTTTAGCATCAAAGAACAAGAGGGGGACCTAATCAGAGTTAAAACAATAAAGATGCAACAATAAAGAGAAATTAGTGTGATAGGCAACACACACTAAACATGCACAAATGAAACATCAAGCTAGGACTTCTGCAATGCAGCATGCTGGCAGTGAAGGTCAAGGTACCAGTGATAAACATGTGAGGGTGCTGGATGTACAATGTGGTCACTAGGAAAATATCAATATCATGCAGATTTATCTAGAATTACTCGGCCATAAAATGTAACTACAGTAACCAAATCTTACAAAATAAAACTCACCTCCACACACACACACACACACACACTTCATGACAAAGAGGAATAAAAGGTGTCTGGGAATACTGTAATTTTGAATATGGAAAATGAGTAATACACAGGACTTGCCATGAGAGTTCCTCAGTTAAAGGATTAGAAAGTCATCAACTCATGATCACCATACAAGACATGAAAAAGAAAGCCTAATGCTTTGATTATATTATCCATTAAATACATTAAAATGATTATTAAAACAAAATATAAAAACAATAAATTTTCCCATGGGCCTCCAATAAATATTAAAAGCATAAAAGATATCTTCAAATTATTGTAACGAAGTAACTTATATATCTTAGAAGGAAAATATCCATGCATGCTGCATCTTTGGAATCATACTTCATTCTTTTACATTTATTATATCATTAACCCTGAGAACTTCAGCTTCTTAATGCACTGCATTATATGACAACCAGTCCTCACACACAATACACTCAAATTTTTACACATATGACCCCAATGTAAAAATTACAGTCGTTTATTGAATTATAGCACCACGATTTTGATACTTCCCTGTATGACCTCATCTTCCAATTTAATAAGCATCCAATTTGTGGTAGTTCATACAGATAAGTTAGGTGGATTGCCTAGGCTTCTATGCAAACCTTTGCAAATTAGACGCACATTAACTCAGTAGATCAACACCAGAACAAATCCACAAGGGCCGTGACGAGGATTCGAACCTTAATCGACTGAGCTACGACATGGTAAAAGGAGTTGAAACCGAAGTACTACTGAACTTACTGGATCTTGCAGCCTCTCCGAGGCACAAACCAGGGTTTTACACAACTCCCCCCATGCACTCGAGCTATGTCAATAGGCCGTTCTTCCTCTTCACCCTTACTTCATTACACACAGAAATCACAACTGCGTGATGCATCAAATGAAGTATAGTGTAGTTCAGTAGATCAAGTTGCACATAAAAAAGTCAGAGTTGCTGTGCTTTAATATTTCACTAAACCACCACAATTTTTACATTGGGAGTGTGTAAAAATGTTGTGCATTGTGAGAATGGAATGAATTCTAACAGATTAGCCCAACTGATATTTACCATACAGCATTTAAACTTGCTGAAATAGTTCTGTTTACAGTCTACATATACTGTAAAGAATTCTAACTTTTAATAGTCAAAGTAAATGGCAAATCTTGCTCTAAAATGACTAACAATATACAAAATAAATTTACTGCTATATATAACTTGCATTATTGCTGGATTAGTAAAAACCAGAATAAGTAAACTATCAAACAGATAAAACATTTACATGACACATGTACAACTCTCAGACTCATCACGCATTGCAGCAAGTCTAAATGTTCATACACAGTATTAAAGGAGTTGCTTGACGCTGTAGTACACAATGTTGTATACAATACAAAAAGTACCATAATTACTCAAATTATTTTGGGGCCCAAAGCCTGCCAACCTGCTTAAAGGATGCAAATAATTATGCATATGTATGAACACACAAGCCATATACTGTGTATACACATTCATGCTACAGTACTGAATTTTTCCATAAAACCAGTTTATATAGAAGTGGAATATACAGTTTAATATTAAATATGAGGACACATACCACAACAAATACTAAAATAAAAAAGACATTGACACCAGTAAATCCTTATAAAGTGAATACAGCAAAATCATTTAATGCTTAAAAAAAAATAAAAATCATATCAGCAATAAAATCTTGCTTAATATTTCTATCGAGTCCCAAAGTTACTATCAACGTTTTAGAATATAAACAACAGTTAATGAATCCAACAACTACCACCAAATTATGCCACTTTGTGTAAGAACTTTTTTTGTAAGCAATACAGTAATGTTATCTCTTCTGGGAATTACAAATACATGAAAAATCAACAGTAAACAAAACAAAATGCCCAATCAGCACTGGAAACAATTTATTAAAAACTTAAAACCTGCTTTAATTTGATCTACAACCACATGCAATTAAGTGGTTAGCATTCAGCTATACAGTAACAGATATATGGAGTTTCCATTACATTGCAGATTGGCACCTATACTGAAACCTAAACTTTCATACAGAAACTCGAAGCAATACTGTATTAGCAAATCTGATGGATAAAATATGCAATTCAAAGCAATAGTATATAGGAAAAATCAGTGAATAACTACACCAAGCAAGGAAACACACGCATGTGTCGTCCACCAACCATGATTTTCTCAAAAGACATGCATTTGTTTCCTTGTCCTTTAAGTATTAAATGCTGAACCATTCTGAAATAAAAATATCTGAAGATTCTGTATGCTTTATGTTTCTAAAGATCAAACATTTACTCTTAAAAGCAAATATTCATACAAAACATAATGAAAACAATGAAAATACAGTACAGTACATACATCTTTAATGTCCTAATGAAACTTGGGTTTGATCACGCAAATATTTAATTTATACTAATGTTTTTTTTATTAAAGTGTAGTTACAGGATAAGAGCTATTCTCATGGTGTTACAACTTACCAATAATCCTTGTCATAGCACACTTTGAAACTGCTGATGATTTTGTTATCCACCCAGCCCATCCTCTCGAGCATTCACAATGTCTGATGTTGTATTAAACTGATGTACTAAATTGCCCGAACCTAACCAAACCTAGGACCCATGAATAGAAAAGAGGATATTGCATAAATTTTGTGAGCCGCTGTGATTTTCAATTCACCAGTATTTGGCCTTAGGGAATTTATGTCAAAATGCAAATATTCAAAAGGACAGGTTGGGTCCACCACCACCTCACTTAAATTGTTCCAATTGTCCACAACTGTGTTCACAAAAGACAACTGTTGTATAAATATTTGGCACCTTTATTTACTTAGCTTGAACCTATGACAGTAAGTTTAAACAAATTCTTCCTAATCAACTCTGTTCATTCCTTCCACTATTTTGTATGTAGTGATCATATTGCCTCTTTTCCTTCTATCTTCAAAATTTGATATATTTAACACCTCTAGCCTCTACTCATAGCTCTTTTTTTTTGCACTGGAAACCATTTAGCAGCATTTTCTTGCTCCTCTTTTTCCAGGCTGATGCCGTGCAACCCAAGACAGTAGGAAATGTGGTAATGAAAAGGATGATACATTTTAAATCATGCATGGCTCTTGCCTCAATATCTTACTTTATATTAATGGCCCAATACCATCGATTTATTTAGCCAAGAGAGAAATTGTGTCCAGTTCACTGAATTATAACACTACTGCCACCAGTGTAAAGGGGCATTATATATAAATACTGTATGCACAGTATGTGTATGTATACATGTAATCATTCATTCATATTATACATACAGACATTTGCATACATACATACAAACATGTATATATATATATTGTACCTAATAAGTCAAGTTGCCTAACAAGCCAAATTTTCCTGAAAAATTATATTTCTCACAATCTTTTTTGTATGGAATAACAATGCTATCAATTACATAACATATCATTCTAATTTTCTTCAGAGTTAAAACCAACGTAGAAATTTGGTCAAATCTAACCTACCTAACCTATCTTAAGTCAGAAATCCATTTTCTAAATACAGTACAGTATGATAATATTAAATGGAATAAACTCATTTGGAAATAAATATTTAAAAATAACAAAAATCCCTCTGCTTGTTAGGCAAATCATGCCAGGCATTCTAAGCCAAGCAGTGTGATTTGATATACAGTACCGATATACAGCACTCTATGTTGACCAAACCACACACTAGAAATTGAGGAGATGACGTTGTTTCAGTCCGTCCTAGACCATTATCAAGTCGATTGTCTTGAGAATGGTCCAGGACGGATTGAAATGTTGTCGTCTCTTCAATTTCTAGTGTGTTGTTTGGTCAACATTTTTCAGCCACGTTATTGTGACTCATCATCTGCACAGTACTCCATTTGTATCCCCCCCCCCTCGTCCTAAACTTACTCCTCTCCAGCATCCTGTGTTTAACACAAAAGCATTAAATCTAAGTACAGTACCGCACTTGTTGTCACTATGTTTAACGTGCGGGGTGTTTCACTTTTCACAATTGTAAGATTTAATTATTTAAGCATAGCCTTATAACACAGACGTATGTATTTGTGCATTTGTACACACACATGTATGTGCATATGCATATGAATGGGTGTTTAGATTTAATGAAATAACTTAGGTCATAAGTTTACATTGAACACAAAGGACAAAAAAAAACTTGTATAAAAACAAAAACTCGCCAAAGACAAAATTGTAGCAGATCAATATACAAATACAGAGTAGGAACCCACAGAGATGTTGCTCATAACAAACAAGCACATTCTTGTACTACAGTGTATACGCACATTCCGTAATAAAAATATATTATCAAACCAAAAACATAAAATGACAGCACACAAGTGAAAATAGAAATGAAAAGAAAAATAACAGGTAAAATAGAAACATACAAGGAAATATTTAAAGACAATTAAAAAAAAAGATATCTTTTATTGAAAATTAAATGTGAAGGTGGAGAAAATAAAGCAGACTACTAAGTGACACTATGAGGTTATCTTGAGATGATTTCGGGGCTTAGCATCCCTGCGGCCCGGCCCTCAATCAGGCCTCCTTTTTGTTACACACCCCCAGGAAGCAGCCCGTAGCAGCTGTCTAACTCCCAGGTACCTATTTACTGCTAGGTAACAGGGGCATCAGGGTCAAAGAAACTCTGCCCATTTGTTTCCACCTCCACTGGGGATTGAACCCGGAACCTTAGGACTGTGAATCTCAAGCGCTGTCCACTCAGCCGTCAGGTCCCTTGTGAGTGTAACCAAAGGCAAAAAAACATAAATTGAAGGAGGAGTGTTTTCCCTATTGCTTCTCCTATGGTTGTTCTTCCATGGGGTCACTCAGGCCAATTATAAACAGCTAAGTGTTTGCAATGTATTAAGATGTGGAAAATGGCTATGATAACTGAAACAGTGAGGTACTAAAACATCTTTATTTATAAGGATTACATGTGATAATGCTACAGGGGATGATGTGTACATTTATAGCTTATATAAAGCCCCTAATTACATTGAGCAAGTTTGAAGAGCAAGAGGAATTATGACAAAAATAATCATTACTTGTGTTATATTACTGTAAACTGCAGTCTTTATTACTATTATACAAAGGTTATTAATGAATTTCCAGAGCTTATTTAACAATATATGATGTATTACTTAAAACAGTGAGTGAAACAATGAAAAAGTGACACACACATATGTGTATGCATTTCAGCAGGTGCACTGTGTCCTTGGTGGTACATTGCCATAGGAAATAATGGAGTGGCACGTGCAAAAGAAAGCTGAAAGCTTTTCATCTACAGTCAAAGCCCTATTTTGATGCTGTTTGTTCTTAGATCACTTTGAGTCAACATTAGTTTTCTAACAGATTGTACAATGAGGCGTTTACGTTTCGTAAACGTTTCGTAATGAGGCGTTTACTTCACAGAGTGAATTTATGTGGTTATCCATATATGAACTTCTATTAATTCATTGTTTACTAGGACTTATTATTTAGGTAGATTTATCAGCAAATTTAGGAGGGTTAACGAGTCGACAGGCTGCAATGATGTGAAGACTACTCTAATTATAGTTAGTAATAAATTTGACAGAAAACTGTTTAATGGTGAATGTAGACAAAATTAATGGAAGAAGTGGAGAGAGATAGAAGGAGTGCATGTGTGTGTGAAATAAATGTGAATGGTGATGTGCTGGGAATAGTTGATCAGCTTAAATATCTTGGAGGTGTGCTTGATAAAAATAATTAGTATGATTGAATGGAAAGTAGTTGGAGAATGGAAACCCTGTTTAGGAAGAACATGGCAGGAAGGAACAGAAATGTTCCTGCCATGTCCAATGTGAAGCTTAAGATGTTTCAACATCTAAAGCTTCACATTGGACAAGAAAGAGCTGCTGGAAGTATTACATATGTTGGGTTGGTACGTACGACATGAAGGCATACAAGTCTTCAAGCTCGTCCTGTTTAAACCTCAAAGTTTGTTGCCAACCTTGATACCCCCCCTGCAAACACACACTGTAACTCCCTATTTTCAGCTTGTTACAACTTGTAATAAAGTTGTTACATCTTGTTACAATGTTTTATTGATGTATTGGAACATTGTAACAACTTGCTATATTTGTAACTTGCTATATAGGTCGTTACAACTTGTTAGGTGTTAAAACTTGTTCAAACATTGTAGCAACATCGTAGTTTGGTTGTGTGTTTGGCGGGCCTGACTATGGCTGAGGAGTGTGGCTAGTATACATGTTAGTACACAGGCATTCTTGACCCTACGCTAATATGCCTCATATCTTCATGGCAAAGAACAAAACAAAAATGCCAGGAACCCCTCTAAATATACTGCAAAAACACACTGAAAAATTACAAGTATCCTCAGTACTCTAATACAAACCTGTTAGAATAAATATTATAATGTTAGTTTTCCCATGATTCAGTGCAATGTTCTAAAAAACTGAGTTTTGATCTTCAAATTTAAGGAGTTATAAGTTATTTAAAAAAAATTTCAGGTAGATGTATGATATCTAAATTGATGAATGATAGAGGCATAGATATGTAGAAAAGTGCAATATGGATAATAAACAGGCTGTCCCATCACCAGTACCCACAAAATTGACATTTTCTGGTATATGAACTTCATTTATGAACTACACTCTTTCCACTTCAAGTCCAACTATTTCCTGTTTACTTTTAACTTAGTAGAATTACTGTCACCTTTACATACTCTACATAGTAGTCACTAGGATCTTAACATATTTCTCTACTGGCCACTCAATCTATATACTTTCAACTATACCACTTTATCTAATATCTTAATTCATACGGTATTAAAAGCAACAACTATTTATTATTAATAATGGCAAAAGATATGCAGGCTGCAAATAATAAAAGCAAACCAGTTAAAGAAATTACTTCACTGAAAGTAGCATATACAATATTCCATTGATGAATACTTTAGAACCCCACTGCAAATGATGCAGCAATAAATGAACAGGGATTTCCAAAGTATTACAAGTCACACTTTCATTGTACATGGGCTATTTTATAAGGACCGTTTTAGTAGAGAAAAAAGCATACCAGCAAAACTCAAAATAGATGACAAAAAGGAAGGAAAGATTCATAGATTATATGGTGTGAAAAAAGCTAAAATATTTAATAAAAAAAAACTAGATTAGGAGGTATGTAACAATTTACCTAAATTAAGATCAAACTTATTAGACAATCAAGGTTTTGGTAGTAAATACTGATTAATTGTTGTAGATAATTAAGGTTACCTTCTATTAGGTTGGTGTCTCCTCCTCCACAGATAGCAAAGGAACCGTTAGGTTGAGAAGTTCCTACAGTGAAAGAGCACAAGCATAACATCTTATGTGTTAATACATTTGTGTTACAATATACAAATTTTGCTTTACTGATGGCAGAACTGACTAAATAATGAAAAATGTTATTTGTCTATACAGTACTGTATATTTATTATTTGTGGTTCCCCCTTTTTCATTAGCAATACGGTGCATCAAATACAGTACATTACCAAAGCATGTTGTCGTCATTATTTTGCGTTTGCTCTGCCGTTATCAGATGAAGCTTACGTTTCCATTTTGTCTTGCGTCATTTTCCACGAAACCTTTGTATTGCACAAGATTTGCAATAACTGTTGGTAAAACACTACTTTCTTTCAATACCTAACTCACAATATCTGTTCATCTTTTCTGAGATAAGAACCTACATTTTGCAATACATATAATATTACCATTCATTTTAATCTTGCCATATACACAACCTTTCATTCTTCTCATATGCATTCCACATGGTCATGTCACCTCAAGACACCACCACCACCACCTTCCATCACTCCATCCAGCTCTCCAAAGGTTTCCTCCTGCCCCACACATTCTTCTTTCATCTTCATCCTAATCTTGATCAATGCTTTTACATTTTAATTGTCTATACATCATTCTCCATGCAAGGCATTGGTTGACACAGCAACCCTTTATAATTTCACTCATGTAATATCAACTATCATGTATAAAGTTAATATGTCAAGTAAGGCCTACATCTACATTCACTCTCATATGTAAACGTAAGTGTTTTTTCATACCTCACAATCTGCATTCCTCTTCCTATCATTACTTTATGTAATAATCTTTTCTTTCACATCACATTTACCATATTTATTCATGTTTTCCATAGTCTGCTCCCTCAATCTGGCACCCTTGGTAGCAAAAGATTTTCTCCATTATCTTATCTGGGATTTAATCCACACAGCCATGCCATCTTAATAGTTTTTCTTGAATTAGTCTTAACAAAATCTACCTTATAACCTACATCCATCTTAATTTTTAACTTTTATCTATTTCTCTGATAACAAAACATACTTTGCAGTTGTTAATCTTTTAAATTTGACTTATTAACTCAAAACTAAATTTTACATTAATATACAAATTCAGCACATTCAATAAGTAGCCCCTTTTCAATCACTAGGGATAATTGGAACAATTCAAATGAGAAAGTGAAGAATTCCAAAACTATCAGCATGTTGTTGTTGTTGTTTTAGATTTAGCTACTCAGAACAAAATTTCCATGTAACACGGGCTATAGTGAGCCTGTAATTGGGTTCGGTTATTCACGATATCTTGTTAGTGTGATATTTGGGTCAACTATCAGCAGTTTCAAAGCATCCTATGACCAAGATCATAGGGAAGATGAGACACCACGAGCTTAGCTCTAATCCTGTAGCTATACTCAGGTAAATACACCTAAATAATTACACACAATGGAAGCCCTATCATCCAGGTCACCACTGTCCAGATTCTTGGATTAGCTAGATGAATGATGACATGCAAACATATGTAATTAAGCACACTGGAGAGAGAGCTTTTTTTGTATGCATGTGTAAATATCTGCTTCATGTTCAAGGCTCATTCACCATTTAAGAGTGCTATAATGATTAATAATAAACTTTATAATTATCTATTTTGATATACAGGTATGTGACATCAACACACTACCTACTTTCTTATTAAAATGAAATATAAAATGCTTTCGAAACTATGTTTCTTGGCTGTATTTAATAAAAATAAACATGCAAAATGCAACAATTTTACAGTATAACAAATTTGATTTTTAGCCCCATTTTAATGTAAAACAGGAACAGGACATAACCCGAGGTGCCACATCAGTAGGGTTAAGAATTCACATGGTTTTAATAAGTAGCAAAAATCTAGAGCAAATATAAAGGCTATAATGTGCAAGAGTGGAATAATGGAGAAAAGTAGAGGAATTTGATAAAATGGATGGAAAGACTGAAACGATGTAGTACAAGGAGTCATAGTGAAGGCTGAGCAACATTCAATCTATGAAGGCAATCAAGCAAGCTAGTAAAGGATATGCTTAACCCTCAAAGAGCTGCTGTCCCAAAAATTGTCACCTTGTCTGTATGCAAAAACAACTAAATACAAAAGAACTATTTGTTCTTATAGAATGATACATTTGCATGCAAGTAAGATTATACACAAAATATCCAAGTCCTTTCTGGTTTCGTTCCCATTATGAGGTATCATGGTAGGGGAAGTTATTAGGCCAGCAACACGAGATACAGTTTGTTGCCTCATTGTGTTGGGGGCTAGGAGACTCCTGTCAAAGTTTTATGGTCCTCTTTGTTGCTCCCTTTAGTTAACAAAATGTATGAAATAACTATTTTTGTTTATATTTCTAAATTTATTTACATACATACATAACTGACAAAAACAGGTATTGAGTTCTGTATATAGGCCAACAAACTGTAACATATTTACCTATATTACACTTGAATCTGTTTCTGGCACAGGTCAAATTTTTTTTTATTAACCTACTACTTTGTTGCTATTTTATGTGAAAATTTAATCTACGAATAGATTAAAATACTGGTGGGAAAGATCAAATTATGATTTTGCGATAGCTGCCGGCCACTAGTACATGATAACCTCATTACACAGTAAGCAATTACAAAAGTTTTTCCGTATAACTTGGTTAACTCCATTACATCAATATAGATGTATTATAACCATACTTACATCAATATCGAGTGATAATATCTAAAATTGGCAAATGATGATAATCACATTAGCCTGGGAAGCAACTTGTGTAATAACCTCCATTTAACCATTAAAGTACAATTATCATCATAAACTGATCTTCCAAGGATAATGTCAATTAATGGAGGATAATTTATCATCATATAAAATGTTGATTTGAGTTATTATAGCCCAGTTTGTGTACAAATGATATAAATATGGCTATATACATACATCTACAGTATATGGATGTAATAGAGTTAACTAATCATTATTAATTGTTTACTATTGATGAAATCATCTTATACCACAAGCAAGGTGATTATCATACATCACAATTTAGCGTTTCCCACTAGTGTTTGAACCTATTTCTGGATGACATTACAAGACAGAATAGCAGCAAAAGAATGGATTGCAAGACATGTTATTTGAGCTGTGCCGGGAATAGATTTACATGCAATATATGTGTACATATTTCATTGCAGGCCTATATACAGTACCCAATCATAGTTTTTGCTAATTATGTGTAAATAAAGTTATTCCACATTGTGCAAACTGAAGTGAAATGGTAAATATACAAACCCTCTAACACGTTCATCGCAGCTCCTCCCTTTTCTTGCTGTCATCAATGTTGTGTCGCATCTGTCCAAGAACCAAATGACCCACTCGCCCAGCAATCTATATATACGAAGCCCGTGACCTCCCCCCCCCCCAAATTTTGTTGTATGCAAATTTATCATTTTACAAGACCAAATTTTAAAAAATTCCACATAAGAAGAGGTGCACCATTGAATCATTGCCATGCTTTGGAGGTTACAAATTAAAGATGAGAAAAATAAGATAAATTGTAAATTTGAATGTAAAATCAATTGCATAGTAATGTGCATTCAAGGGGAAAATACAGAAACCAAGGAAATGGCACATTTTGTTTAAATTCTCATTACATCACTGAAGTGACCATTAATCTCCCCCCTTTAGCTTTGCTGCCTCTGCCATCACTGGGAACCACATCAGTATCCCTGGTAAACCCCTTGGCCCTCTGCCAACTCCCAGCGGCCCCCTCTGGGCACTCCCATTGGCCCCCTCTGGGCACTCCCATCGGCCCCCTCTGGAAGCTCCCATTAGCCCCTCTGGAAGCTCCCATTAGCCCCTCTGGAAGCTCCCATCAGCCCATCTGGGCACTCCCATAGGCCCCTCTAGGCACTCCCATCGGCCCCTCTGGCAACTCCCATCAGCCCCTCTGGGCACTCCCATCGACCCCACTGGGAACTCCCATTGGCCCTGCTGGGAGCTCCCCCATCTGCCTCTCTGAAAATATCCTCAGTGTCTCTGGGAACCTCCCACATAGCCCATTAAATTGTGTATGAATCTAAGACTATTTTTAATTTAAAAAACCATTACCAGTTATTCAACTCATTTCTATCAATGATACAGTATTGTATATTAACAATTTCAAAATATTGTAGTAATAGTACAGGCTTTTTTATATTAATACTATTGACTTTCATACGGATAGACTTAGAAATCTATTCAAAATTAAGTATATTTGCAAAGAGATAAACAAGCACAGTTAACCTTTTTCAAGTAGTTATTATACAGAAAGCCCAGCACAGAACGAGGATTCGTCAAGATAATATATTGTTTTGTTTGAACTCATACTTCTTGGGAGTTTAGCACGAGTTCCATTATTTTTGGGAGAAGCCATGATGAAAGAACAGAGAATATGATCTGAAGGGATGCAGTCAAGCAAAATTCATACTGCAAGAGTTTGCACTATACAAGTCTACTTTACTTCTATGAGAGAAGCTTTCTTTCTAGAGACTAATCACTGTGTATCATGGAAATAAAATTTTATTAAACTTTGGGATGATAAAATAAACTACTGTACTTAAAAATACAGGGTAACAAGGCTTCCCCAAATTTCCTATAGCTAAATGTTATTAAATTGTGTTAACAAAATCAATATACAAATTTGATAAAATTTACCTGCTATTAGATTATATTGTTTGTCAATAAATCTTTGCTAGTTCTCTACTGTTGTTATATGAAAGTTATATAGATCTAATGGATTTCTAACACTAAAACATATCCCAAAATAACTATTACTATGTAGATGTACACATCTACTGTAATATTAAGCTGCACTCAAGATATCTATAACACCTTACTGACTGCACGCATGGAACTAGTGTGCACCTTAGGTGTCTCAAGTATAGTCTATTATTCAAGTGTAATCCCAGCAGAGAATACTATGGCTACAATAAAAAATAATATTATCATTTTGATTTCTAATATTGATAGTGTTGGAACACCTAAATTGTTCTGTTCTCTGATGTTTAAACAAATATAAAATTTAAATTTAATAGATCATATTGTAACTCAACAAAAACAATTAATTTGCAAAATCTTCTATATAAACATTGAGTAAAAATATAATAAATAAGTTCAAGTACAATATATATATATAAAACTGCTCCAAACATATACAAAATGAAGCCAACCTTCATGCACGTTGATCAAATTTCATCTACAATTGTTATTACTACATAAGTTGACACTGTAATTCTTTTTGAATGTTGTCTCGTGGAATGTGTAGCAGAAAGCAAAACTAATATGTGATGGTGATTATTTATACAAAGATAAACCCTCATCATCAAAGCACATTCATGAAGTGTCAAAAGTTTATGGTAATGTTAAAACTGAAACAAATTACTAATCGCTACAAAATGCTATCCAGCTACTTACAAATAACTATACTATCAAAGCATTATCATCAGTTTATCATTCTACAATCCAAATAATGAAACATAACAATATGGTCAATGAAAGTTGGGATGTCGTCTCAATGAAGTCCCTATTGTAGTACAACTACAAGAGAGAGATAACTATCAGGGGAAAGTGCCAAGCCATTACAACTATACAGCACTGGGAAGGAATAAGGATAAGGATTTGAGATGGGCAGGGGAGGGGAAAGGAATGGTGCCCAACCACTTGGACGGTTGGGGATTGAATGCCGACCTACATGAAGCGAGGCCGTCACGCTACCATCCAGTTCAAGTGGTTGGGCACCATTTTATATATTATATTTTATATATATATATATATATATATATATATATATATATATATATATATATATATATATATATATATATATATATATATATATATATATATATATATATATATATATATACATATATATATATATACATGTCGTACCTAGTAGCCAGAACGCACTTCTCAGCCTACTATGCAAGGCCCGATTTGCCTATTAAGCCAAGTTTTCATGAATTAATGTTTTCTCGACTACCTAACCTACCTAACCTAACCTAACCTAACTTTTTCGGCTACCTAACCTAACCTAACCTATAAAGATAGGTTATGTTAGGTTAGGTAGGGTTGGTTAGGTTCGGTCATATATCTACGTTAATTTTAACTCCAATAAAAAAAATTGACCTCATACATAATGAAATGGGTAGCTTTATCATTTCATAAGAAAAAAATTAGAGAAAATATATTAATTCAGGAAAACTGGGCTTATTAGGCAAATCGGGCCTTGCATAGTAGGCTGAGAAGTGCGTTCTGGCTACTAGGTACGACATATATATATATATATATATATATATATATATATATATATATATATATATATATATATATATATATATATATATATATATATATATATATGTCGTACCTAGTAGCCAGAACTCACTTCTCAGCCTACTATTCAAGGCCCGATTTGCCTAATAAGCCAAGTTTTCCTGAATTAATATATTTACTATAATTTTTTTCTTATGAAATGATAAAGCTACCCTTTTCACTATGTATGAGGTCAATTTTTTTTTATTGGAGTTAAAATTAACGTAGATATATGACCGAACCTAACCAACCCTACCTAACCTAACCTAACCTATATATATAGGTAAGGTTAGGTTAGGTAGCCAAAAAAAGCTAGGTTAGGTTAGGTTAGGTAGGTTAGGTAGACGAAAAAACATTAATTCATGAAAACTTGGCTTATTAGGCAAATCGGGCCTTGCATAGTAGGCTGAGAAGTGAGTTCTGGCTACTAGGTACGACATATATATATATATATATATATATATATATATATATATATATATATATATATATATATATATATATATATATATATATATATATATATATATATATATATATATATATATATATATATATATATATATATAACTGAAAACTCACACCCCAGAAGTGACTCGAACCCATACTCCCACAACTGGTATGTACAGGGACGCCTTAATCCGCTTGACCATCACGACCGGACATAAGGAAGTGATAGCCGAGGCTATATGAACCACTTCCCCGCCGGCACTCGGATGGTAATCTTGGGCATAGCATTTTATCAAATCACCTCATTCTTTGGGGCACACGTGAGGAACACAAATGCAAACAAGCCTGAATGGTCCCCAGGACTATATACAACTGAAAACTCACACCCCAGAAGTGACTCGAACCCATACTCCCACAACTGGTATGTACAGGGACGCCTTAATCCGCTTGACCATCACGACCGGACATAAGGAAGTGATAGCCGAGGCTATATGAACCACTTCCCCGCCGGCACTCGGATGGTAATCTTGGGCATAGCATTTTATCAAATCACCTCATTCTTTGGGGCACACGTGAGGAACACAAATGCAAACAAGCCTGAATGGTCCCCAGGACTATATACAACTGAAAACTCACACCCCAGAAGTGACTCGAACCCATACTCCCACAACTGGTATGTACAGGGACGCCTTAATCCGCTTGACCATCACGACCGGACATAAGGAAGTGATAGCCGAGGCTATATGAACCACTTCCCCGCCGGCACTCGGATGGTAATCTTGGGCATAGCATTTTATCAAATCACCTCATTCTTTGGGGCACACGTGAGGAACACAAATGCAAACAAGCCTGAATGGTCCCCAGGACTATATACAACTGAAAACTCACACCCCAGAAGTGACTCGAACCCATACTCCCACAACTGGTATGTACAGGGACGCCTTAATCCGCTTGACCATCACGACCGGACATAAGGAAGTGATAGCCGAGGCTATATGAACCACTTCCCCGCCGGCACTCGGATGGTAATCTTGGGCATAGCATTTTATCAAATCAAATCAAATCAACATGGGTTGATTATGGGTTCGAGTCACTTCTGGGGTGTGAGTTTTCAGTTGTATATAGTCCTGGGGACCATTCAGGCTTGTTTGCATTTGTGTTCCTCACGTGTGCCCCAAAGAATGAGGTGATTTGATAAAATGCTATGCCCAAGATTACCATCCGAGTGCCGGCGGGGAAGTGGTTCATATAGCCTCGGCTATCACTTCCTTATGTCCGGTCGTGATGGTCAAGCGGATTAAGGCGTCCCTGTACATACCAGTTGTGGGAGTATGGGTTCGAGTCACTTCTGGGGTGTGAGTTTTCAGTTGTATATAGTCCTGGGGACCATTCAGGCTTGTTTGCATTTGTGTTCCTCACGTGTGCCCCAAAGAATGAGGTGATTTGATAAAATGCTATGCCCAAGATTACCATCCGAGTGCCGGCGGGGAAGTGGTTCATATAGCCTCGGCTATCACTTCCTTATGTCCGGTCGTGATGGTCAAGCGGATTAAGGCGTCCCTGTACATACCAGTTGTGGGAGTATGGGTTCGAGTCACTTCTGGGGTGTGAGTTTTCAGTTGTATATAGTCCTGGGGACCATTCAGGCTTGTTTGCATTTGTGTTCCTCACGTGTGCCCCAAAGAATGAGGTGATTTGATAAAATGCTATGCCCAAGATTACCATCCGAGTGCCGGCGGGGAAGTGGTTCATATAGCCTCGGCTATCACTTCCTTATGTCCGGTCGTGATGGTCAAGCGGATTAAGGCGTCCCTGTACATACCAGTTGTGGGAGTATGGGTTCGAGTCACTTCTGGGGTGTGAGTTTTCAGTTGTATATAGTCCTGGGGACCATTCAGGCTTGTTTGCATATATATATATATATATATATATATATATATATCTCACTCAATAAATGAATAAACAATGCATTATGACAACAGCACTGCAGGAAGAGATAAGTGTAAATGACACACACACAGGAGGAGTACTGTACCTTAAAACTAATCCTCACAGAACACAATTTGCTGCATAATTTGCCATAAATTTCATGTACTATTTGTGAAACTAATAGAGTAGTATACTGTATGTTTTCTATGATCAATACACATGACGACGATGATTGAGATCAAGTATAGCTGTAGTAGCTCTACTGCGTACTGTATTACATAGAGTAAATATGGAAGTAAAATGATTATTTTAAGCCAGTTCACTTCACTAAAAAAATATCAGAACAAATGTATCCGAGTTAATGAGTTATACATATTGACAACAACATACAAATAAATTCTCTAATATAGCTGAAAATGCTATATACCAGGTAAGGTAGTGACCATGCTACATATATTTCTGAGAAACATTAAATTCACTAAAGACCACACTAGTTTATAGCAAGACACTAGGTATAATAAAACATTAGGTTTCATCACAAAACAAAACACAAAAGATTCAATCATGAAAGGGTTATAGACTTCCTCTAAGCCATACCTATACTGGGAGCATAGGTGGAGTGAGGACGACCATTAACTTGTGGACGAAGCATCAATTCCAGTGTGTGTATGCCAGCATTTGTAGTGATGCTGCAACCTGCTAAAATTTCGATATTTCGCCAACGCTGCTCTCTCTCTCGTAGTTCCTGGGTTACCTCTTCCATAATAGTTCTAAAAGATAATTCAATACTATATAAAATATAATAAAGATGTAATAAATGAATCTTGGACATTTTTATATAATGCAACAATGAGCAACATACTGAAGAATTGCGTGCTGGATATAAAAGTAGGAAAAGAATTGGACCCAAAGTATGACAGAATAACATATGGTGCAATAAGAAAAAGGTTACATCACAACATTACCTACATAAAGAAACAAAGAATTTAATTTCAGTAAAACAATGAGAGAGACGGGCTAAGATTTATACAGGGTACGTGGATTATGCTTAATAAATATGCATGCACTGTCTCACTACTGTATGATTTTATCAGGAATCAACACCAACTTGAAATTAGTAAAACGAGTCTGGTAAAGAAATCTGTGTGCCAGCCAAATTTAACCAATGTTTCTTGTTCGATTTATACCAACTACCTATATTCACATTTGTCCACAATGCTGTGTAATCAGTGGCTTAATAAAAATATAAAGTATGTACCTACTATGTAATCACTGTAGTCAGATTTTCTGCAATTTGTTGAAGTATACCAAAATATAAAGAGATATTATCTACTTATAGTAGATAATTGTTTTCAGACGGTTTCCTATCAGTGTGCAGTGTAACCTCAACAGAATAAGTTACAAGTACCTTAACTATCATTATCTTCACAAGAATTTGCTATAATGAGAAATTTGAATTTAAGACACATTTTCAAACAAGCAAAATGTTAAATTAACAAGTTGAATGCATCTCATGGCAGAAATAGCAGGAATCCGACAGCCCACAGCTGTTTGTTTGCCATCTGTCTTAACTGCAGATGACCCTCCTGCTGACAGTTGTAAGTTAAGCTAGGGGTTTTCAAAGACTATGTCAAAGCCCATCTTCTGTCATCTGGCTGTCATCATAAGAAAGCTTATAGTGTCATCACTTATTTTTCGATTGGCTCAAAAATCATTTCTTCCTAACTTGAAAAATTCTGCAGGAAAACGAATCTGAATTAAAAGGTACCTTACGTATGTATTGAATTTTATGTTTTATTACTTTATTAAAATAATATAATGCATTTTTCTCGTGTTAAAAAAGCTGTTCAAGAGTGGAAAATTTTGCGTCTGAAACATATCTCAACTTTCAACAGTCAATGGGAAAACAATTATCTAACAAATTTTCAGTTACCAAACAATACTTGCAGAGTGCATCTTGTTTATTAGATCAAAAATGCTTCTAATAGGGACCAGACTCATTCCAAAGTTACAAGGTTTTCGTTATAATGTACCAGTACTTAGATTTTCTTTTAATTTATTGAGTTTTTATTTTCTTACCACAAATGTTGGAACATATTAATTTTATTTATTTATATAAATACAAAACGGTAAAATGAGTTGTGAAAGAACGTTGGTGATTTAGAGGTACATTTTTACAAACCACTAACACACAGCATCTCAGGCAACTGAACATGTTTACATACAAAATATATAAATATTGCATTTCAAAAATACTAGCACTACAAGGTAAAGGAAAAGTGAAAAGGATAAAACCATATTCCTTACTTACATTTTGAAGATAAAACTTTATCTGGGAAAGCCAATCTAAGCAGAGTGTGGTATACACTCCTCAGCCATATTCACTTTTCTCAATCAATTTGGCCTTTTCTTTCACGTTAAGATAGCCACTCTTACCATACTTTATTTCTGCTGATAAGTTACAAGTACCTATCTCAAGTGCCTGACTATTTCTGATGATAACTTCCTTTCTACTCACAGATAATTAAATATCAAAAGAAATTGGAATTAAATTCCTTGAAAGGGGAAATGTAACACCCTACTAACAGAGAAAACCCCCCTCATTACTGGACACTTTCAAGATAAGTAGTAATGTAACCACCCAAAAATTTGACATATACAAACTGCATTGTTCAATTTATAGTGAGAGTACAAGTACAAAAATAACATTAGACAACAATAATGTGTTTGAATAATATTTATCACTAAACTCAGGTTTATAGGAATGAGAAAAGTAAAAAAGAAAACGATAAATGAGAAATTAAGAAATGCATAGTGTGTTCAAGCTTTTGTGCCAAAACAATTTTTTACTGACCTGGCTTGACTTATAGACTGGTCTACATTGTCCATTTTGCCATGAACAGATGCAAGCATTCCCATTAAGCTGCGGCGTTGGCGGTTAAGTTTTTCACACTACAAGACAATAGGAGGAAATTTAACACTACCTCTCCCAAGAAAACACAAGATGTATCAATTTACACTTCACATTACATCATATATTACTCAACATGCATATATGGTCAATTTGTCTAATTTTGGCTTTAGATGTTTCAGGCCTAAAAGCAACACTGGAACTATAGCTACAACATTCAGTACTCTAATTTCCTTATCAAAGTGAAACGTCAGAATAAATATTATTGTTAATCTAAAATAATAAACAGTTCATGTTAAGGTGGTGACAAATTAACAGATACAACACTACATGTTTTATAAGAGGATAATGTTTGATAACAAAGCAATATACATGACAGACAAACCAACACCACAAACCCATACATCCAAAATACTTTATTTCATTAGAACAGATTCCTATACAGTCAGGCAAGACGACACTGGTATCAACACCTCAGTAGACAGCCTGGAATGGCTTCAATTGAGCCAACAGTCAATCTCCTATGTGAGAAGAGCTGGAAAGGGAACTGGATTGGTATATTTACCAAATAAAATCCAGACCCAAAACATTGGAGCAACAGGAGAGGGGAAAACAATAATAACACATTTATATACCATAGTACAGTACTTTATATGGATGACCCACCTCACAATAATATATGGCCAAGAGATGATTAAGAGAGAATATAAAGATAATGCTGAAGATGCTCAGACAAACTAAAGTTTGTTATAAGTAAATGAAAACTATTACAGTACTGTATAGGGGAAGATTTATTTTTAAAAACATATATCCTGGCCAAGGTAAAGATAATTATCATGAGAAAGTGCAAAACCAATATGACTACTGTATATAGTAATTGAAAGGGATACGAGGACAGGATCAAAGCTTTGATATGAGGACAAAGTGAAAGAACAGTACCAAAGCCCTTGGACCTTCAAAGATTGAATACCAACCTTGCAAGAAATAGAGGCCGTCGTTGTACTGACCAGTCCAAGTAAATGGGCAATGGCATAGCCTAGGAAGTGAATAATAATAATAGGTAAAAAACTAATCTTAAATCTTGACAATTTACAACTCTTACCAATTCTCTGGCCATAGTAAACTGTTCACGGGCTGCACCTTGTTTTTTCTCAAATGCTATCCTTTCCCGCTCATATGTAAGTTGGAGCCAATGCTGAAGATCAACTGGTGCACTCCAGTGGTGGTCATCAAGCTCTGCCTCCTCTAACCCACGTTTCATCTGTTCTTTCATCATTTCATTCTTTTCACGTTCTTCCTGTCATCAGAAATAGTCACAATTATCATCATCGTCATTTGCAGACGAGGAGTCACAATAACATGGCTGACAATCGACTTGAGAATGGTCCAGGACGGACCAAAACGTCGCCGTCCCTTCACTTTCTAGTGTGTGTGATTTGGTTATCGTTGTCATTATCTCCTTTCTACTTTCAATGTGTGGGAAGGCAACAGCTCGGGGTAAGATTGGGACCAGTTATTGAAATATAAGTAATTAACAATTTAAAAATGAAACTAAATTGAAAAATAATACTTGTCCATTATGTTATATCCAAAACACTATGTATTAATAGCTATATATAATTTGGGTTAATATATATATATATAAATTATTATTATTATTATTGTTATTACTAATCTTTTTATATACTGTACATATATAGACATGACAAACATATATTCTTCTATTCACTCTGCTACCTGTCTTATCTGTTCCTGGATATTTCAACTGTCGAGGCAGCATAACCTCCACTTCCATCAATGGACATGTAAACTATATCTTACCTCTAATTGAAGTTTGAGTTGCTGGACTTCTTCATCACGATTTATGCTTTCACTCATTGTTGTAGTGTTTTCATTAGTGGTGACCTTAGTATTCATCTTCAGCTCCAGCTGCTGCAAATTTTCCTCCGCCTCTCGCAACTTTTCCATGTCCTGTTCGCAAAAAAAAAATTGCAATCCATGCGAAATAAATTCCCTTCAGTGATTAATAGTCTAGCTCTAACTCTCACACTGTTTCCTTCTGGCCCCTGCCATCTTAACATGATTTTCAGACTTGTCCTAAATTTATACTAATTTATATAAATTGTTTCATATTCTAATTTGCATAGACATGTTCAGCACCCTATTAATGCCCAAGTAATTATGCTCTCTTTATCTTGTTATAAACTTCACTTTTCCATAAATTTAACTCTCTACTTGGTATTTCTCTTATATATCAGTCTTCAAATAAGCAAATATATTAATTTTTAAATAAAATTGTATTAAATGCTTACAAAATAAAAACTTACCCTAAGCATATCACTTAATTGTCCTTCATACTCTCGGTTGCGTTGGTAAGCCTTGAAGCAACCAATTAACGCAAGGGTGAGGAGTGACACAAGGACGAGATCCTTCACGTGGCTTCCTGTATCTGTTAATATCAAATGTCACATGAATGATACAAGTGTATGAGAATATCTATCTGTTTTTCAATAAATTATTATGAATCATTTGTGAATTTATTATTTATATACTGTAGTCAAGTGATGTGTTTAGTAGTTTTCAAAGCAACTTAAGAAATAACGTACAGGATAAACTGTATTTGTCTGCATCTTAAAAGGTTGCATTAAGTTATATTAATCCATGCAATTAGTTCTATGGTGCATAGTGGTGTTCTTTCTTTAATTTTAAAATCACTACTTTGGATTTTGTGTGTTATAAGCTTAAAATGATATTCAAGTTTAATGCAATCATCTAACATACGCCTAAAATTTTATCTTGGACAATTTCTGTGTTCTGGAAAGGCATAAAGGCATACAAAATTCACAGGTAGAGCTACCAGTAATTGTACCACAATTTACCTGCAAGCCAATCTGAATAAAATCTAAAGAAAATCTGCCTTTCAAACACCTACTTTTTCTGATGTTGAGACTAACTCCTCATTCAGTTTGTGTGTGCGAGTATTAACAGAGACACAAGCTTCATTTCTACAAACATTATAAATCAAAATATGGTACAGATTACAAAAAACAGAACTGTATTTCATAAAACAAAACAAAAATGATCTTCTGCGAAGCTGTAGAAAGATGGAATAATTTGTGTGAGAGGGTAGTGTATTAAACACCACTAATTTTGGTATGATGTTATTCTTAATTCTTTAGCAATAAATATTACTGGAAAAATTAAAAATTTTTATGAGATGTTTTAAAGCGCTTATGCAGTACTGAAGTAAAACAGTTTATACAACCAGAGCAAGTGATCTGGAGGATTTGTATGCAAGGAGGCATGGTCGAGCTCCGAAATCATCGCAAGGTATGTTTCTTTCAATATTTATTATATAGAATAGATGCCTGCTAGTAAAAATAGTTTGGCTAGATGAATTTATGAGTTTGCTCAGGACAATAGAACTGCTAACATTTATCAAAATTTACATGATTTCACCAAGTATTCATAATAATTGACAATTGCTCAAACTCCTAAGTGCAGGCAAAATACATCAAAAACATTTCAAAACCTTGTATAATTCTAGAAACACAATTTCTACAAATATTTTACATAACTTTAAATAGAAAGCACACAAAGCACACTTCATAGAGAGTTGACATGCATATAGGTAAATGGCTAAACAAATAAAACGGCAAATCGTAAGCTTGGGGAAGAATTTGTTGCCCTTCTAATACAGTACGTATCAACAAATATACTAAGCTAAATTATATTACGGTATCATTTAGCGAATCATACTACAGAGACAAAACATACATACCTACTACATTTAGTTAAGCTTAGTAAAGTGAAAAGATCGGCAAAGGTGTTGAAAGATATTTTTTAAGTTTCAGCATATTCCTTTGAATGAAAAATATATGGAACTACAGTATTGCATTATACTGTACTGTACTTTCCATTTGCAGATCTTAACACCAATCAACAGTTTGTATAGCAAAAATTAGCAGGTTTTTACAGTTTTGAAAGCAGAAATTGTTAATTATAACTGATACTGTTGCTAAGGAACATTAACCGAATTTATCCCTTCAAATGCACATGTCAAACAGGGAAGACCATGGCATTTCTGACTCCACGAAATGAGTCACTAAGGGACCATTTAAACTACCATAAAAGATTTAAAAGTCCTGTAAGTACATAGGGCTCATATTTACTTCCTAAGACCTGCAGTAAACAGATACAGTACTATCTGTATCCATGAAAAATAATCATGGGCACCCTTCCTGGGTGTGAGGGCATTAGTATTGAGAGTGTGACCATGACCAGTGCATGCAGCAGCAGTTCACAATTCTGCTGTGCAGCTTGTACCCACAGCATCTCATTTAATAATTTCACAACCCAAGGCAGACATCTACAATATACAGCCATGGTTTTGGGCCTCTGAGCTTCATGAAACAGAACCGCGTGTTCCTTTAAAAAATGAACTTGAAAATTACTCCTATTCAGGATTTAGTGACAAGGATTCTGATAAAAAGTGTTGTGGCTAAAATCAGTAATATGCAGAGTATATTGAGAAGCATTTTGCAGTGTCAGGTGGCGTTGGCAACTGTGTAGCATGTGACACTATGCGGTGCTTAGATTACAAGATTACTACACCCACCAGAACTGTTTAGTTGTTCATTATGGGGTATAAAAAGTAGTTATATAAAACATTCATACACAGCATAACAACAGCAAAAACTGTGTTTTATTTGCATGAAATGCTGTGTGTATTAGAGCTTTAGGCATTGTATGTACTAGCTCTATCTAGAAATCCAACATTATATTTATAACTCATCTTGTGTGTATGTACTTTTACCTGAATAAACATTTGTTTTGATTTCATTGTTAAAAGAAAATAATATTGAGTGCACATTTGTGACATGACTATATCTGTGTGTACCTATGTTCTACATGTTCTGTGATACAAATAACATTTCTGACAGCCTATTGTATCATTACACTTGAAAAACCATGGTAAAAACTTTTAGAATATGAAGAAAATATAATACATTCAATGCGTGCAGTTATAACTTCGTGCAAAACATGCAGGGGCTAGGCTGCACTCTGATCATTGATTACGAGATAATTACACTCACCAGAACTGCTTAATGGTTTGTAATGATGCATGAAAATGTAGTTATATATGAAAACTGCATATGCAGTGTAATAACAGCAAAACGACTATGTTTTATTGTCCTAAGAGTATAATATGGTGTGCATATTAGTGACATGAATACACTTCAACATTCCAATGTTCCACACGTTTTATTACTCAAATTTGTAACATAATAATCTATTGAATAATATTACTGCAAAAAACTGAGAAAAAACTAATCAGACATTGAAATACAGTATTGTATATAAAAGTATCTTCACTACAACTCCGTGGGAGTTGCTCCATGAATGCTCCATGAATGCTTGTAAATTGTGACTCATCATGAGACCTCCTGGCTTCATCACAGCCAAAGCAAGGTATGTACAATTTTTAATTTTATTTGTCTCATGATCAGGGAATGTATTTTAACAATATTAGAAGGGAAAAACTGTAGTGAATTTTTTTTTCTGCACACCATGCGTGTTGTCAGCTATAAACAGGGGCACAGTGCAGGGGTTAATAAACAAGGCAAATATAAAAATCAAATACTGTATGAAGAAAATAAGAAGTACGGATCTAAATTTGACGAGAACACTCATTCACTTACTAACACTCGCCGACATTCTCCGTTGCATTCACTCTCTCACAATATAGATTCTGTACTCCCTTTTTTCTAGTACAAGGTGAAAATTCCCAATAAGAAATCATCTCACTGAACATTAGGTTCCTACTACAACAGTATAAGCGTAGAAAATATAAATACAGGCACAACTCTACTTTTTACAGAAGACTGAATTTTGACTAGTCAACACATACAATAGTGTACTACACTGAAAACTCAACTCTAGGCAAAATCACTAAATAATTCAAACTATCCTTCTAAAATAATAATACTTAGAGCAACTATTGTAAACCATACCAATATGTACTGTTAGAGCCAAGAAAGTTAATATTTTGTAATTTTCATTTTAGTCTGAGAAAAAACAAATTTAAACAATTCTAGGCCTACTATGTATGTATGTATGTATGTATGTATGTATGTATGTATGTATGTATGTATGTATGTATGTATGTATGTATGTATGTAATGTAATGTAATGTAATGTAATGTAATGTAATGTATGTATAGTTTACATACATGCATATATGGAATAGTTTAGGTGAGATTCTTTAGTTTAGTTTAGATTCTTTCAAATTTTATAAAATACCATTTAGATTAATCCAATATAGTAATACAAAATGAACTTTTGGGGGGATTCGTGAGTATATATTGATTTGTTTAACAAAACAGTTGCTGTGAGAACTCTCATTTTAGGAGAATGTGGTGACAATTATAGTTACTGTAATACAGTACTTATTTGAAGCATATATTTTACATTTGCGTATTTAAGTACAATTTAAAATTGGACATGCTTTCTCACTCTAACAAGCAAATCACATTAACTCTCTTCTTATACCTGGTGAATGAAAATGCTTAATGAAGCATTACTTACCGAGCATCAAGGAGACATCAGCCATATGCAGGGAGAGAAAATTCTTAACGTTTACATATTATTCAGAAAAATTAAGTAAAATGTGACTTAAATTGTGTGAAAAAGTGTACTTTTGGACTGATGTGTCTATTTAGAGTTATTATTAATCACATGAACTGCCATTACACCAATTTAAGTTAATTTTTGCTTAAAACATCTGCAGCATACCATCAGAAAAAGTACACTTTCAGTACATTAAAATAATATAAACTAGAGATTTTTAATAAACAAAAACATCTTCAAAATATAAAAAGCTGTCAACGTCTACTGTCAAAACAAATAGCAGTAAGACATGCTGCTTGCTAATTGATGAAGCCAAAATCATATTTACTCATCCAATTAAAAGTTGAAGAAGATCATATATTTTTATTGCAAACATCCTGTTTATTGGTAAAGTAGAGAAGTGTAACAATTTTACACTTCTATTGTCACTTAAATGGGATAATTTATTTTTAAACACTGCAAAGCAAAGAATATCCACTTGGACTTCTGGGTGACCTGGCTGCCATCTGGTGGTGGTCCAGTGCATTATGGTTAGGGGGTGTTTACACCATGGCAATAGTCATTTACCTTGTTACCCGAGGGTTTCTAATTCTCTTAAAGCAGTGGCTTGTTTTATTGTGCTGGTGCATTCTAAATATTGTTTCTTAGTTTTGGGATAGTCTCTGATTAACAAGCTTCCCTTGCCTCGTAGAGAGCCATTTCCTTGTTCTTGTTCCCGATAGGCAAGGGTCAAAGGTCTGGTGCACCTCCCTAAGATCTAACTGATACACTTTTTTGTTTTGTAGTATACATAGATATATATAGGTTGGTGACTTAATCTATCCTGCTGAATGAGACCTGTTCCTATGAACTACAATACACTACATTCACTAATGTAGTGCAGTTCTACCATACTTACACCACGAGCATAGCTCTCATCCTGTAACTAAGCGTAGGTAATTTCATTTTGGTAATTACATTTCGTGGCACAAGTATCAGTTTTAATAATCTTGTCAGGATATATTTGAGAGAAATATTGAGTGATCATCATTTACTGGTCAGCATAAGCTGATACAGGCACATAACAAATTCAGACAGTACTATCCAAATTAAAACAAAACAAGAAAATTTTGGATGATGGGTAGCATCTGAACAGGTGTTGATGCAGTGAAGGCCGCAACATTGAAAGAGCAGATAGTTCTTCCATAAAATCATATTACATTATTAGAGTATATATATATATATACAGTAATTGCTGCTGTCAGGGATGGGAAGCCTGTACTCAGGCTTACTCACTATCCAGGATACAACCCACAACAATTGTCTACATCCAGTACAGACAAGTACAGTACTAGTACTGTACTAGTACAGTACTAGTACTGTACTAGTACAGTACTAGTACTGTACTAATATTTTCCTTCACCAACAGTTAATGGCATTAATGACCTTCTTTAACTTTGGTGCATAATTACTAAACTAGTAAATTTCTATAAAAAAAATTAGTAACTAAAAGCATAGTAAGAATCACACAAAACTGACTTTGTGGAATACAGTAGTTGCAAAATGCTGAAAATCTTTGGTGTCAAAATCTTAATGCTTTCTATTTCACAAGCAAACCAATACAATTTATACATGTTTCTGACCTTTAGGTGGACCAAAAAGAACGACATCCATAGCCTTAATGGTAATCTTGGACCGATGTTTCGGGTCTTTGATTCCCAGCACTTTTGTTAGAAACTGCTCATTGTTGGCTGCCAGCCTGCAAAATATAAAAACTTTCAATAGCCTTAGAGATAAAACTACCTATATTTTCCTTGCTGAAATATTCTAAATTATACAGTATAAAAAATTTCCTAAACAATTTTTGATAAATTAATCAGTGTTAACTAACAAAAATTCTGCAATTTAAATGTTTAATTATACTAAGCTGATCTCTGGTTTTAATGTACAACATTTTTAATCACACAAAGTAAAATAATTTTACTCAACATAACATGACATAATGCCAGAGTCTGTACAATCTCAAGTTCAATTGCACTAACTGCATTCTTTTGATATGGAGAACAAAGAAATTGATGACACATACTTGAAGAGAACTTTAACATAATAGATGTCTGACCTTTAACAAAAGGTGGGAAATATGCAGTACTGTACTATATAAAAGGTAACCACAATATAGGGGGTGGGGGCTATAATGGTAATGGGCTTAAAACTGGTGCCAATCAGAGTTGGTAGGATGTCACTGTGATGGCAGTGTGAACAGCAGGTAATTTAATGCTAAGGCTCTGGACTATTGCCTTCACATTCGGGGAGACTTATCGCACTCGGTAAACAATTCTTGTGAAAGAGATGTTGGCAAAAATGAGCTATTGCAGGCCCATCATTATAATGCAGCTTCGTGACAAATGCCAATGAAGAATATATTTAGCATTTATTTCCCCACACATCATTAGAGGTTCATATGATATTTTAATGTTCAAATATGCATATAGTATTGTACACTTGTACTATGATATTTTTTGGAGTTGTCTCGCCTTCACTCAAATAAATGTCATCAGGCTATACACATCCATGTATGCACAGATACACAATACTGTATAAGCATCAACATCAACTGTCTGATTCTTCAACTAGATTCTTCAGAACAATGTGATAATGACTCTCTCATCTTGCATTTTGAAAATTTAAGTATTTATTTACACAAATATACTTCGTGTACAGTATAATTCTCCTCTTCGGCAAAAAACTGAAAGAGGAAAGACACAAATATACCATGTAATCAGGAAATCCATATTACATGTTACATGAGAAGCAACATCATCACATAGGTTATGGCAATGATCATGCAGCTATCTAAATGAAAGGCACTGTCAAATAAAATATAAAACACCACACGCAAGATACCAGATTGTTCTACGTAAATACAAAACACATAATGGATGCAATGCACAAGTAAGCCGTATCATGAAAGAGCATGAAGGCTTTATAAATTTCATCATGTTAGAAAGTGCAAATCATAAATTAATTATAAGGGAGTACACATTAACCTCACTAACGCATTTATGAATTCACCTTTCAACTATATACCTTGAATTTCTTCTTTCGGAACGGGTAGAAATCACGCTGAGAACAGCACTGCAGAAGTGAAAAAAAAAGAGGCAGAGCCGCTAAATTGACTAAAACATGTAGTGAAGGAATTTTTGTTCTTTATTTACGACTTTTCAATATTCAGCTTTGGTGTGAACAAATACTGTATGCAGGAAACTACAGACATTCAAATTTTCCAATGGGAAATGAAGCATGCTTAAACTCAAGCAGATATGAAATTTTATTCTTGTCATTATTATATAGCTTACTTTACAGACCAATATATTGACACAAATCATGATAGTTGCTAGGTTTTAATAGAAACATCTGATAATTGGGGATTGTCATGATCACATTTTTGTCCATCACAATGTTTCAGAACACAGAAAAATAGTTAAAAAGCTATAATATTATCCATAAAAATAAAAAATAAAAATTATCGATTAGAAAAGCAGTCAAGCCAAAACCACAGTGAAATAGCATGTGGTAGCATTGATTATGCTTACGGCACTTGGGATACTATAAAAGTCAGCTAACTAAAAAAACAGCTAGTTTGCCTGGAAATTCAATGGTCAAGTAAAAATAGAGTAACTAACCTCGGCAAAACTGATCCATTGACAGCATTTTCATAAAAGTTTCTGGCGTACTGCTGAAGTTCAACAGACTCTGCAAGCCATGCCACAGTCTGATCCACAGTCCAGTTGTGTACCTGAATATCCAGAATTGAACTACAGTACTAAATGCAGACGAGGAGTCACAATAACATGGCTGAAATATGTTGACCAAACCACACACTAAAAAGTGAAGAGTACTAAATACTGGGTACTAAACACTATCCTGCCCCCATTACTAAATTGTGGGCAGTACTAAATATTGCACACAAACCGATACAGTATAAGAAACAATAATGTGGTACAAGTATTGGATGTTTACACTCTTTATCATTATAAATTGGGTTATAAAAAATAAGCAAACTGGCCGATTGTGAGACACGTGATCTTAACACGATCTTGACACCTTTCTTAACCTTCAACCTGTGCACTTTTTAAGTCATTATCCTAATATGCATAAAATATAAATTTTAATAAATTGTAAAACATATACCACTATTTCTAATACTGAGAATTTTTTTTTAATAATTTTAGTTTGGCTGAAGTGAGGTGAAGAAATGTTGAAAACAACATTTAGAGAATTAATATTCATTACTCGAAATATACTTCTATACTCTTCCTAACACCCTTTTCTTCAATTAATGTATACAGAACTTTATGTGCAATGCAAAATGGTTACAAAATAGCATTAAACATTAAAAATTTATATATTGTCTACAAAAACTTTAAACTCACCTCAGATTTTTTCCATATGTGCCAAAGTTCTCGAACAGATATATACTGATCATTATTATAATGGAAGACTTTCTGACGTTTCTCGTAGCCTTTCGCATACTGAAGCTCCTCCTTTAAAAACTGGTGGATAAAAAGTAAAAACAATAAATACCTGGAATCTTTACAATTTATGATTTAAAAAGACACATACAATGCTGTATACATGGAATATACAACACATTTATATTTAAAACCAAACATTTGTGTTAAAAATACAAATCTATATACCTATGATATGAACCAAATTCTGAAGTCTTCTTTTATTTGCAAATGTGACAAATGTATACTATACAGTACTAGTCACTCTACATAATCATAATTTTTTAATATAAAACAACTCACCCAAGAGACAACAGAATATCACTCAACAAGTCACAATGACAGATGCTTTTTCACTCAAAGTAGTGGAGCTATCTACCTGTTAAAGTCATAAATCCAAGACAGTACTGTATTCCAGATAAACAAAAAAAATTAAAAAGATTGGGTCAGCATCACATGTGCTGGAAGAAGCTGCAGAGGCAGAGCCAAAGTGAGGCATGGCAGTACAGTACCCAGACCCCTCACCATGACGTGACACATTTGATAAGTGGGCAGGAAACCTAATGAAGGAACTAGGACTAAAACGTATGGTTTAGCTTCCGAAATCTCTGACATCAGTACGGAATATCAAACAAAAACATAGTTTGGCAAAATTCCCTACGAAAGTGGGATGATGATGGACAGAGCTTATCAGGATCCAATTTATACTTCCCCTTGACATCCCAAAAGGCAAACTTAGGAAGCTACTCAAAGCATGTCCCAAAGAGGCACCCTTCCTGAGTCCTGATGGGGTGCATGTATAAACAGGTAGATGGCATTGCTATGGGTTCACAAAGTCCCACACATGAGGTTGTTTTGGAAACTGGAACATGCTGAAGGGGGTGACAGGGAGACTTCTGACATGGCTGAGAAATTTTCTGACAGAAAGATGAGGGTAGTAATCATAGACAATATACCTGACTGGAGGAGTGTTACTAGTGAAGTACCACAGGGATTCAATTCTTGCTGCAGTAATGTTCATCGTCTACATAAACCATCTACCAGAAGGAATGAGGTGGGTTCCCTGTGTGGGTATGTGGGCCTGCGGGCCGCTCCAAGCAACAGCCTGGTAGACCAAACTCTCACAAGTCAAGCCTGGCCTCGGGCCGGGCTTGGGGAGTAGAAGAACTCCCAGAACCCCATCAACCAGGTATCAATCAGGAATACAGAATTATATTAACACGTTTACTGATGATGATAAGCTACTAGGAGACTTACAGAGACCTAGATGATTGTCATGTCCTTCTCACCCATTATTGTTACACTGATGTCACCAATATAATATTTGCCTAGCAAAACAAAATACAGCTGGCTAGATCTTAACCAAATTAACATACCAGTTTAAACAGTGGTGAGACTATTTTTCACATCATTCAAAGAACTTCCCTTCCAAATATCCGAACCAAATTAATTTTCATTAGAACAAGTGAACCACAGTACTGAATATTACTGCAGTTGATTGGTCTCAAGTCTGAAGAAAGTAAAGTAAGGCATTCTTAAGGTATTATTAAACAATGGAAGTGAATTATCAAAAGAATAAGAATTGGAAATCAGAAGGTATACCTCTATGGGAATACCAACATTGTTATGCCCCAAAAAGAGGGTATAAAACTTACGTCAACCGACTCCGCCACATCGATGTCACCGCTGTGGTCATCATCCAACTGGGAGTGAAGGCTTTTGATGGCCTCATAGTTAGGTATCTCCTCGGGCACTAAGCACACCTCGTCCACAATTACACATCCTGCAATAAAACCATTTATTTTAGTTAATCACCAATTGTTTTAGCAAAATACACTTTAAATTCAATGTGAAAAATGCAATCAAACTACTGTATATCAAGATAATAAATTAATGGGAAAGGACCAACCCCTCTATTCCCCCCCCCCCCCACAGAAATGCTTTTACTATTGAAGCCAACCAATTAACTAACCAAAAGATAAGCTAGAAAATTAATCAAGAGGTAAATCGTTCAACTGTCCAAGAGGCAAAATAATTAACTTCTTAAATGATTAAGCAATTACCTTTCCAGTCTGCCTTCCTTTCATCCCTACTTGTGTGTCTCACTAATTTGTTTCTGTACTTCCCTGCTTCTATTTGTCCAGACAATGCTCATGGTCCCCATAAATTCTTCCTAAGCTAACAAGATTTCTATTTTGACTTGGGGGGGTGGGGAGGGGTGGGGAGGGGTGGGGGAGGACGGTTATGCAAGGGTACAGTATATTGTCTTTGTTCTGTCCTGTCTTAGTTGTTGGTGTTATTGCTTGCTGTATTTGTAACTGTGTTGGGGGGAGGGGGTGTGTACTGTGTTGGGGGGTGTACTGTGTTGGGGGAGGTGTACTGTGTTGGGGGGGGTGTACTGTGTTGGGGGGTGTACTGTGTTGGGGGGAGGGGGTGTGTTCTGTGTTGGGGGGTGTACTGTGTTGGGGGAGGTGTACTGTGTTGGGGGGGGTGTACTGTGTTGGGGGGGTGTACTGTGTTGGGGGAGGGGGGTGTACTGTGTTGGGGAGGGGGGTGTACTGTGTTGGGGGGGTGTACTGTGTTGGGGGAGGGGGTGTGTTCTGTGTTGGGGGGTGTACTGTGTTGGGGGGTGAACTGTGTTGGGGGGTGGGGGTGTACTGTGTTGGGGGGAGGGGGTGTGTTCTGTGTTGGGGGTGTACTGTGTTGGGGGGTGAACTGTGTTGGGGGGTGGGGGTGTACTGTGTTGGGGGGGGGGGTGTACTGTGTTGGGGGGGGGGGGTGTACTGTGTTGGGGGGGGGGGGTGAACTGTGTTGGGGGTGGGGGGGGGTGTACTGTGTTGGAGGTGTACTGTGTTGGAGGTGTACTGTGTTGGGGGGGGGTGAACTGTGTTGGTGGGGGTGGGGGGGGTGTTCTGTGTTGGGGGGTGGGGGGGGTGTACTGTGTTGGGGGGATGTACTGTGTTGAGGGTGTACTGTGTTGAGGCTGTACTGTGCTGGAACATGCACTGTGTTGTGGGGTGTACTGTGATGAGTGTACTGTGTTGGGAGATGTACTGTGTGTACATAAACTCGCTGTGATTTTGCGAGTACAATTTTGTACTCGCAAAATTGACGTAGTGTCTCGTTTCCTATTCGTGGGTCCTCGATTAGCTTTCGGCAATTTAGTACATCATTTTAATGACGTGAACGCTGGAGAGGCGGGACTTTGACGAGGGGTGAGAGCCAAGCCTGAAAACCACCCATGTGTCATGTATACATGTATACTAGACAGCACTAGGACTAGTAACAGAAGACTGATCAGCAATATGACTTGGAACACCAACCAGTAGGCGTGGCACCTTCATGAGTGAAACTAGTCGTGGCACTGAACTACAGATGCTTGGCAAGAGGGGGCAAGGAGGTAATGTTGAGCCCTTAAAGCACATCTATGGGAGTACCACTACTAGTGGAAATTAGAAAGGGCGCCAGCAACAGGAGGTACAGACAGGGGGGGGAGGTTGGTGGCGCAGGCCGCCCACGGGAGTGTGTAGGCGAGGGAGTAAAGCTGAACCCTGCTTGCTGCCACCCAGGTAAGTAAGGCTTGCACACACCCACTACCCACCACCCGACCCTCTTTCCCTACACACACACACACACACACACACACACACACACACACACACACACACACACACACACACACACACACACACACACACACACACACACTGTAAAAATCATACCAGCTCGCAAAATTGACCACCAAACAACACTAGGGGGCCTCGCAGCTGAGGGGACAGCCCTCTGGGGTCGTAGTCCTAAGGGCCCGGGTTCGATCCCCGGCACAGGCGGAAACAAATGGGCAGAGTTTCTTTCACCCTGGTATTCCTGTTCACCTAACAGTAAATAGGTACCAGGTAGTTTGACAGCTGCTACGGACTGCTTCCTGATGGTCTGTGTGTGTGTGTGTGTGTGTGTTAAGAGAGAAATATATGTAGTAGACATAATTGAAGAAAATAAATTAGTTAGAAACTCGAGGAAAGTAGTAGTTCGATTCTGCAGATACATATAATCTGCAGATACATATAATCTGCAGATACATATAATCTGCAGATACATATAATCTGCAGATACATATAATCTGCAGATACATATAATCTGCAGATACATATAACCTGCAGATACATATAATCTGCAGATACATATAATCTGCAGAATACACCGCATACATGCAAACACCGCAGACTATAAACACAAGGAAAATATAGCCGGAAGACTAATATAAAGTGAAATATGTCGCAAGGTAAAGTAGCTAGCGCCGCAAGGCTATTGCAAACAGTGGCCCGGAAGGTTTCTGAGGTTATATATATATAAAAAAAAAGAGAGTTCACCCCTGAACAAGTTAACTACAGGTGACAAAATTTGAGCAAGAACGAGAAGGTCCAACAGTACGGAAGTTATGCGATAAGAGTCAAGTTCAAGTATATTTATTGAGACAAGAAAGAAAGAAATCTCAAAGGGATAGAGTAGCTTAGGCTATTTCTACCCCCCCTGGCGGTAGTTGCTAACCGAACAACATTCAGTTTCAGCTTATGATAGCAAGACTTAAGATTAGCCACTACATAGACAACCGACAGTTGGAGAGACAAAGTGTTCTGCATATTGTGTTATGCGAGAACACCCACTACCACCACCACCATATTCTCTCTCCACACACACACCAACCTTTCCACCCGCCCTCCTTCCTCAACTAATCCATATCATGGACCGGAGGACACAGAAGGGACACCTCTATATTGCAAGAGGCTGGCCGCAGACATCCACAGTCTGCCAGGCCCAGTTACAGCCCCCGCTCCTGTGCCAGTCCACTACGGGCTCACCATAGCCCATGCTACTTGCAACTTTTTCTTGCCAGTAGCTGAATCTAAAACAACAACAACAGTGTCTTGAACTCTGACACTCGACCCGTCATTTGCCGCTTCGTCCTCGCCTTTAATTAAATTAACACACCCACTCAATAGTTTTAGTCACTTATTATGCACCCCATACCCATCCCGTGGGCGGTGGTGGGGGTTACAGAGGCACATAATGGGCCCAGGAACTGAACCCCATTAGTTCATTTAGCTAAGCAAAAAACAATACACAATATTTACTCTTTTATTTCATATAAACTTGCTCTTCTTCAGTGTTTTCTTCCTAGTAAACACTCTAGAATGTTTGTTAAATACTACGTTCCCTACCTTACTACTCAAGGGTAGGGCTTCAGGCGATCTTTATAAGTTCAGCCTTTCAAAGATGTGTTGTTCATGCGAGGGGGAAAGAGTATGGTTAAATACTTGAATGGAGCAAAATTAACACAAAGGAGGAAACATTTCCTGCTGGAGTGGCCTCGAATGATTCAACACGCCTTCTGTAGAGTCATTTAAGCCTTGTTCCTGATAATGTGCACCGTCAGAGGTCACGACCTCTCCGTAGGGTGTAGTCGCACCTCCACAGATCTCCAGTATCAGTTAATGATACTGGTAATGGCTCCAAAGGGCCACCACTTACGGGCTATTCATGCCCGTGCCACCTTTCGGATGGCTTAATCTTCATCAATCAATCATGTGCACCGTAACGTAACCATACGCTGCGTTACGGCGTACAGGGTTAAACATGTGCCCATCAGTGGGCACATGTGGGTATCAGTGGAATCGTTTATTTACTGAATCGTTCAATCGTTGCATATGGAGGCAGTTAGTAGCAGCAGCTGACGACTTGTTAAGGACCCACACGGCAGCAGCAGAGGTAGGAAAGAACATAGGAACAAAGGTAACTGCAGAAGGTAGAGTTCTGAAATCACGGGATGAGCAGAACACAGAGACGAGGATGCCTTATCCGGAGAGAAACCTCAAAGACATAGGAGAGTGTTCAGAAGGAAACAGCAGCAGATGAGGCGGGTAGAGTAACTCCCAGATTGCAGAGGCAGGTACAAGAGACGTCTAAGATGAGTCAAGGGAGAGGGAGCGGTAGAAGGCGGTGTGGAGGGTGTCGTCCACGGGGATAGAGGTGCAGGCGGCGGCGTGGAGGGTGTCGTCCATGAGGGGGTAGGACAGGAGGAGGAAGTCATGACCTCGACCCCGGTAAAGTGGGACGGAGAGCAATATTAACGTTGCTATGACTACCTACGGCGGGCGTCACCAGCATCACCGTCACCATTCTTAATCCTTCCTTCCTTTTCATTACAATGCGACCAAATTACTCACAGAGCAACACAAAAGATGAGTTACAAACACAATAAATCTGATCACAACACAATAAAAAAAGAGTAAAATAATCCATACAAACAATAAAACGGATCGTAGCCACACATGTAATACCCCAATAAAAATAAATTAGTTCAGTTATTAAATGGCTCAGGGATGGAACCAAACAAAAAAATCATTTAGCTAAGCAAGTTATAATCTTGATAAGCTAGTTAGACGGTTTAATGTATATTAACATTCTATCAAGAGTAGGTTCGAGACCGGCCACAACTACGAAGAAAAGCATGTAAGCAGACGAGTTACTCCTGAAAATGTACAAGAAAACGGATTACTGTACACGAAAACGGGTTACTGCTCAAACTATACAAGAAAACGGGTTACTGCTCAAAATATACAAGAAAACGAATTTTCCTGTAACAAGAAAACTTGTTTTCCAAAGGGTACCGTGACAGGGGAGCAAAAGGGGGTACCGAGACACTGGGGAAGGGAAGAAATGAAAGCGATCAGGCGCAGGTCATGGCTGACGTCACAGGCAGCTGTCGACCACTCGACCCTGGCG